TTTGTACAAAGTTATATTAGTTTTACTGAGTATTACACTAAAAGAATTCACTAAAATAGGTACGACTTTTGGTGAAAGAATTTCTATGCCAAAATTATTAGCTACATAAATAGTGAAAGATGGTGACAAAATACATAATTTTCTTTTTGTCATTAAATCCTATGGCCAGCTATAGAAATATGTATCTATATAGCTAGAGAGATAAATTATGCTGATGTTCTATAGCTAAATAGTTACGTCTTAGTTAGAGATAAGTTCTTGCCATTATCATTCTATTTATAAGCAATAGATAACTACACAAATTTGTAGCAGTACCATATGTATCACCACTCACTAAACCGTAAACCCTAAATCTTGAAGGTTTAACCCTAAAACTTATATTGTAAGCCTTGAACCTTAAATCTTATACACCATTAACAATAAAATCTAATATTAAACCTTAAACCTCTATATATCTTTTTCCCCTAAATAATAATTTCAATATACATAAATCCTGAACATATCTATTAATAATAGCAATCTAAATTAATGTGAAAGGTTATGTGTTTTCAGTATGTAAGTTTTAAAATTGTTGTGAAAATGGTTAAGTTGTGTCCGTTCATCATAAAAATGTATATTTACATCCAAAAGATGTGATTTTAATACATCTTTAAAATGAAAACAAAATAGTGTTACATTATATTATGTTTATAAAATAAAATTATAAAAATAAATAAAAAACAATATCATTGGTTAGTATTAATTTTTTGATTTAATGTTTAAGATTTTTCCAAAGGGTTTATGATTTACCCAAGGGTTTAGGATTTAGGATTAGGGTTTAGTGTTTTAGTGTTAAAATATTTTTTTAAAGATTTTTTTCCTTTTTTGTAAATATTATTATTTTTTTATTTTTTTGTATTTTTATTTTAAAAACATAATATAACTTAACAAGAGATTTTTTTTAAAAAAAAAATATCAAATATAAAATAACATTATCTTATATTGATTGGTGAATCTAGAGATTCATCGTAAGAAATAAAACCCAAGACTAACTCTTATTTATCTAGTGTATATTTTTTTTTTGGTGGGCTTATTTATCTAGTGTATATAATAACACTAGTTGCGTGTTTGATTCTAGTATCCATCTATAAAATTTAGGTAGGATTTAATTTATCTCATTTTATTTCGTCACTTACCAAAAAAAATAGAAACCAACGCCATATTTATTCTGTGGCCGTGAAATGCAGATTTCAGAGATTGATTATTGAGTTTAAATAAGGAAATGCAGGTGTTATTCTTGATACCAAATACGGCAAGATACACATTAACAGGCCAACAGATGCCGCAACTTAACCTGCATGCCTAACAACGGGACAAATAAAACTAGCACTAAATAAAGAGAGAGTAACATACACCTAAACACATGGTTAAGCTGCCATTAGTAATCAATTTGATAAATGTAGTGATCAATAGATTTAAAAAAGTAACTAGATCATAGCTCAGTAGGTCTTTGTTTTTATGGTATATATAAATATTTTAAAAATTACAATCTTATGATTCCAATTTTACTAAGTAATAGTATACTGTTTAAACATTGTATTTCATCATTGTATTGTGTAACAGGACGTCGATGAAATGTTGTGACCCGTAAATATTTTAGTAATATTTTATAAAGTTTTTTGACTAAATTTGGTGAGTTATATACACTAAACAATTTAGTCAATTTTTTAAGGTCATTTTTAATGAAGAATTGAAAGGCTAGTATATTAATGTTAAAAACTTATAACAATAGTCAATATAAATTATATAAAGAAAATATATATTATTCTTAATTTATTCCAAATACATTTATAACATGAGTACATATATGTATAAATAATTTTCAGAAATAAAGTAATATAAATGATAGAAAATCTAAAAACAATAATAATGGTACTTTGGGCCGCAGTAATTTTTAGTTTAATAAGTAAGCCCATTAGATTTGTAGACTATCATTGTTTCCAATCATCACAATTTTAAATACTTACTATTCATGTTTCCAAACACTTAATTTTTTGTACTTCAGCTTTAATAGTATAGATGTCAGCCTAAGTAGTAATTAGAACTGAGTCCAGAGCCAATCATCATTAATAATTAGAGTGGTTCAACCGATCTCAGAGAAGGATCAATAGAAAATCGAATTCACAAGAAAATCACAATAGCATAAATTTACGCCATTTCGAAATGATGACTCATTTAGAGTCAAACTCAGAATTTTTGGGTAAAGATTGATGGTCCATTTTTAGACTGAATTAATAATGGATCGGGTTGGACTGCATAGATCGTGGGCTATGATACCATGTTAAACTAGATTGACTTCCAATCTAAAATCATTTGGTGATAAGTGAATTGATCTTTCTATATTATATACTACTTAGGATTCTTCTAATTACCGAGGTGAGATCTTTGTCCTCAATATTATAGTCTCTCAACTGTACTTATAATAGATGCACATTATATAACACAAATCTATTATAGTTAAAGGTATCTTGGGATCATAAATGGAAACTGAAACATACACTTATTGGTTTCTCTCCATACAAATTTGGCGGAGGCTTGTATCTTGATATCCACTGTGTCAATATATAGTTTCAGAATTACATATTTTTCCTCGTTGAAACTTTTTTCTCTGAACAATATTGTTTTTTTTTTATTTCCCAACACCAACTGCGCACTTATATTAAACTAGATGTTTTTCTGCACCATGTGCATTGAGAAATTTTCTAAGTTTAAATTATATTTAATAATAAATTTTAATAATATTATAGATTTTATTATTTTCTTACCAATATTTAAATATATATTTGATTTAGTTAAATATTAAATTAATATAAAATAATTATGTTTATTTAAAATTATATTTAAGAGTATATATGTAATCTTAGATAGATTTTTCTATCCATATATATTGCTTAAGTATATTGAGTTAATGTATAAAATTGATAAAAGTCATATAAATTGTATAATTATCAAAAATTTAAACTAAACAATATTTAAATTTTTTGTAGATATATAAGAAACTAAAGATTTTACGATTAAAATTTTATATATTTAAAATATTGTCAGAATTTTTGAAAACTTTAGTAATACAAATTGTATAATATAAAAACTAAAATAGTATAATATTTTGAAATTTATAATGTTATATTTGAATATATTTATTTTAAATATGATATATGAGTTATTACCAGATTTTCAATTTTTATCATAAATAAATATTAACATTAAATGTAAAGTATGCGTTATTGCCATATTTAAAAATTAAAAAAAAATATAAATCAATATTAAATGTAAGTATACATGTCAAGCCATGTTATCAATTTTAGTAGTCATGTCACATTTTTTTTTGAAACTGATTGTAGAGATGACATGTGGATATATAAGAAAATAATGATTTAAACTAAACAACATTTATAAAAATTTTAAATATATAAGAAACTAATGATTTTACGATTAGAAATTTATATTTTTAAATATTTGTAGCAATTATTGAAAACTTTAGTAATATAAATAGTATAATATAAACAATAAAATAGAATAATATTTTGAAATTTGTAATGTTATCTTTGAATATATTTATTTTAAAGATGATGTATGAGTTATTACCATATTTTAAATTTCTTACCATAAATAAATATCAACGTTAGATGTAAAATATGCGTTATTACCATATTTAAAATATTTACCAAAAATATAAATCTACATTAAATGTAATTATCCATATCATATTTTACCATAAGCCATGTCATCCATTTTAGTAGCCATGTCACATTTTTTTGTGAAATTGATTGTAGTGATGACATATGTCAAAATCAATTTGCAAATAATATATAGGGGATTAACAGTCCAATGGTTACAACTGGAGAAAAGCTCTACGGTAAATCAATAAAAGAAAATAACTAAAACATAACAAAATATAGAGATAGCCAGAGAGAGAAGAGACCCGGAAAGAAGATTTACTTGTAATCCTAAAGTCTGCGCTCAAAGGAACACTATGAAGTCATATTCAAAATCGACACTGAAATACCCAACCAGTAAGTTGTGACAGCATTTGAAAACCGTCTCAGAAGATGCCTGGTTCATTGGAGAAAGAGAGGAGTTTGACTTTCCGATAACATTTCTTGATGAAAGAATTAGAACCTAGAACTCTGGTTCTAGAGACTAGTCGGATGGGACAATGAATGTAGATTCTGGATGAACAAAGGTACTCATCTCGGCTGTTCTAGGTCTAGCTGGCTTGAAGTGCAGATGCTGAGATGCAAACCGTAAGGGACATGACTAGGTGAGTCAGAAGTAGCTAGGGGAGATGGGTGCAAGTTGGGGAAGCTAAAGGTAGAGTCAAAAACTATGGTTCTAAAGAGCTTGTCGGAAAAAATGTTAAGATAAATTGACTTCCAGCCTAAAACCAATTGGTGATAATTGGAGTGGTCCATCTATCTTATATATTGATTAGGATCTTTTCCAACAACCGGGGTGGGACATTTGTCCATAATAAAAAAAACATGATATCAGTTCCAAGACAACATGGAACCTCATCGTGACAGTTCTAGATTGATCAGACTTGATGTGTGGCTGTGAGGAAGGCGTTGAAAGATACATAATATCAATTCTCTGAACAATATTGTATTCTACCAGATTCTAATTCGGATAATAAAGCATGGACAACTTGTATACTAAATGGATACGGTATATGCGTGCGTGCCTCTACGTTTAAACATTTAAATTGAAGTTTTCTCTGTACCATTAGTTCTCCAGGCAGAAATTAGGTTAGAAGTTAAGCTACCAACTTCATGTTAATGTGCATGACAAGAAACAAAAGTGTCAATTAATTTAGCTGTAGCATGTAGGTGTCATAATCAAGAATGAAAATCACCAGACAACTAATACCATCGTGAAAGTTTGCGAACTTGATTTTCCCGTGTAGATAACATCTCAATTTCTTTTTTTACTATAAAGAAAAGCATTGTCTATAAAAAGGTATGATGGAGTTATATTATAACTCATTCTCCAATTTCTTAACAGGCCGTGCAATGGAACTCTTAATGATTCCAGGCATGAGTTCGGTCCTCTTTTTCCTTTTAGCTTTTTCCCTTTTCTTTTTCTCCACCGCAAGAACTCGGAGGAACTCCAGCTATGGCCTAGGTTCACTTCCGCCGGGTCCTCCGGCACTCCCACTGGTAGGAAATATATTCCAAATCGGGTTGAATCCTCACCGTTCACTTGCTGTCTTTTCGAAAACGTACGGACCTATAATGAGCTTAAAGCTTGGAAGGTCAACCGCAGTGGTTATATCTTCACCAGAAGCAGCTAAAGAGGCACTTAAAACACACGACCCTGCCTTGTCTGCTCGAACCTTTAACGACCCGGTTCGAGCCTTTGATCACCATACACATTCCGTTGTCTGGATGCCTGCGTCGGATCATTGGAGGTAATATGTAACTCTATCTTTGTTCCTTTTTTTGGGGGATCTAACTAATAACTCTATCTACAAATATCTTGTCTTAAGAAAAAATTCTTTCTTTGTTTAAAATCATTCATAAACCAACAAAAATTAAACCAACGTTTAATTTGGTTGAAATAATTTTCGTATTTATATGAGCGAAATCAAAATTTTAACCTGAAACTATGGACACAAGAAAAAAGATATAAATTTATAATTAAATAGTTAAATAAAAAGTCATGGAATTTTTAAATTGATTTTTTTTTTTTGAATGAATTTTAAATTTATTCAAAAAGCCTTTTTACATCAAGTGTAGAACTGTTTTAAAAACTCAAAATTGAAACCAAAATACAACTTTTCCTTCACATTCTCTTATGCTCTCGTTTGAAACCAATACTGAAGTGCATTCTCCATTCCCTTCCCTCCCTTCATTCTGATCAAACTAAGTTTGTTCCTTATCCCTTTGTCAGTAAACTTCTCAATCATCAAAATAGGCATCAACTTCTCTCCATGTTTTACTCTATTCCTCTCTCTCCATAGAGCATAAATAGCTGCATGGAATGCATATCTTAGACAGTTGAACCTCCTTTTCTCCAAACCATTTCCACTAATTTTTAAACTGATTACTACACGACTCGCTTGAAGTTATATATGTTTGTATGAATCTTCAGGTTTCTGAGGAAGATACTAGCGAAACATATGTTTTCACCAAAAACCCTAGACGGTATTCAATCTATAAGGATGAGAAAGGTGGAGGAACTTGTGAGCTTAGTAAACACATATTGCGAGAGAGGAGAGGCTATTGACATGGCTCGTGCTTACTTCGTCACATCTTTCAATATAATCTCAAATGCTTTGTTTTCTGTTGATTTGGCCACGTTTAACTCTAACTCTTCGTCTTTCAAATTCTATGAGACGGTCGTTCACATTATGGAGATCTCCGGGAAAGCCAACGCAGGAGACTATTTCAGGTTTCTGAGGTTTCTTGATTTACAAGGTATCCGAAAAGAAGCGACGCTATGCATGGAGAAGCTATTTAGGGTTTTCCAAGAATTCATCGACGATCGTGTGGCCAAAAGATTGTCTCAGACAGAGGCTTCGACGACTACTGATATTCTAGATTCCCTTCTTGACATTACACAGCAAAACCAAGAAGAATTCACCATGAAGGATATGAAGCACTTGTTATTCGTAAGTGTCAAACAAGCAAACATTTAATTTACATAACTGCGCTGTTGTATCAATTATCATCAGCTCAGGACCTCTTTCTATGACAGGACATGTTTGTTGCGGGCACGGATACAAACGCTAGTACCATGGAGTGGGTAATGACTGAGTTACTCCGTAACCCGGAGAAGATGGTGAGAGCTCAGAGTGAGATACGGCAAGTGATAGGTGAAGACGGTGTCCTTGGGGAATCTGATATCCCCAAGCTGTCTTACTTGCAAGCAATTGTGAAAGAGACTCTTCGTTTGCATCCTCCACTACCTATAATCCCACGAAAATCTGAATCTGATGTCCAAATCTTAGGTTTCCTCGTTCCAAGGAACACCCAGGTTTTATTTCATCACCTTGGGCGCACGCTAAGTCATGGGTATACGATTGTTTTGGTTAGTTTAATTAAATTCCAATTCTTCGGTTCATGATATCAATTGGCAGTTTGCCCTAGTTTCACTCACATGTACAAAATATAGTGAAAAAAAACTATATATTTATATATATATACCTATCTTAAATAAAAACTCTGTTGAGAAATGATGGTTGGGACATATCCGGAAATGGACCAGACCACATCAGTCTCACTTCAGTCCAAGACCAGGCGACAAGCACCTTATCCTTATCCATACCAGGCGGCCAAGACTTGTCATTATCCTCCCTTGTATTTATCCATATGTTGTAGATATCCTAATCATTATAGGATTAGGATAATCATCCCCTTTATTT